ACGAGTGTACGTCAGCGTCACTGCTTATGCTGAAGCGAGCTGATGACTGAATGTCAAGTCTGAGACTAAAATATCATACACTCTGATACGTAACAGTTTCATCTACAATAGGATTTCTAATCGGAGGGTTTGCAGAAGGTATAGATGATCGATAATAGATATATAGTGCAACAACTGCATGATGCACCCCTTACGTCAATCACCGCATTGAATACCTCCCAAACAGATGACGACATCTACGCAACAACTCACGACTCGTCAGAAAGAACTCGAGGACAAACAACAAACACCAAACGATAGGGAAAAACTCCATCAGATGCTTCACAGGCATCAGCGAGCGAAGTACCCGTTCAAAACGACAATGTCATCTAGCACTGAGTAAGGGTAGTATTGATCAGTAGACCAGCCTTGATGTGAATTTCAGTCGGACTCACAATCGTACCCTGGATCTTCTTTATGTGGAACATATCCATCAACTTCTGGAGAACATCATCGTAGTTGGAGAAGATGATATCAGTACCATCTACTTGATAGTCGCATCCGGCAGTCTGGCCGAGAACACTCAGAGTGGCGCGTCCAGATTCAAAGTCAACGCTGAAGTCTTGACCGTACAAGTTACCGCAGTAATTACCATTGAGACCCACCGCCTGGGTAGTTGTGGTTACTTTGATCGTAGTCGTGGCTTCGGTAGTAGTCGTTTCAACTGTCGTAGTAGTCACAGGCTCTGTAGTCGTTGAAGCAGTTGTGGTAGTCTCAACAGCGGCGGTAGTGGTCGTAGCAGCAGCAGCGGTAGTGGTCGTAGCAGCGGCAGCGGTAGTGGTCGTAGCAGCGGCAGCGGTAGTGGTCGTAGCAGCGGCAGCGGTAGTGGTCGTAGTCGTGCTCCTATGAACAATGGTAGTATGCTGAGTTGTAGTAGCAGGCACGATTGTTGGTTGGATACTGCAGGCCAGGGGCTCCCCAACACAGTTGGAATCAGTGGGCTCGAAACAAATAGAACCGTCACTCTTCTTGATCAAGCCGAAGCAGACGGAAGGAGTTACCCAGGACTTGCAATAAGATCCGTATTTCGAGCCTGCACAGCCACTCACATTGGAGCACATTTGAGAGCACGGGTCCTCAGTGGCCATGACGAGGGAGAGGACAGCGACGAAGGCCAAGAATGAGACGATGAAGGAACGCATAAGATAACTTTGAAACACTGACAATAGGAATACATTAACAGAACTATTGAACGATCCACACTAACGAGTGGCAACGCTAATGTCACTCTAGCGTTGCGTCGTAAGAGAGACATGAAGGATGCCTAGCACATCACATTGTCTATTGATATGACACTCTGAGGAAAGAAGACGATTGTGACCCGGACACTCTTGGGAGAGGTATTGTGTAGGAAGGATTTGCTCTAAAGCGTATAGTACAAGAGAATATATATACCGCTAGCGTGAGAACCTTCTCGGTGTTGATGCCAATATCATGCGTGGAGTCGCAACAACTGGCACCAACGTTGCCTCGAGGACCATCATGAGCATCATATCGACTCCTGAGACTTCACTTGTTCCTCTCGCTGTTGAAAATAGAAGGAGAGTGTCAGAGTCTATAGTCGCAAGAAGGACTCCTCGGTATCGCAATTCTCAATGTGACTCGTGCTATTCAGAAGCTACTAGGATCCAATCATTGATGTTGAGAAGGAGAGGTATCCAGTGGCCGTCTGACATTCTTCGACGTATTGAATTACTCGGGAATATCAAGATCAACGAATTCTGGGTCTGCGGAGTTCGTCATTTGAAGCAAACTCTCAACGGTGAGCGATGGCAAGCCTAGCGTAGACAATCCGGCAGAATTCACCTCTCAATAGAGCGCTGAAGATTCATCGACCGCTCCATAAGGTTTAGTACGACGTCGGCAAAGCGCAGACTCTGATCAAGTTTTTGATGTATGAATAATCACACGGCTCGTACTGTTCGCGCCAGTGTATCGTTGCGGCAAGCCAACGCAACAGTAAGTATGAAACTCATGCCACGTCTACACCTTATTCCATTCAGAGTAAGTCTACCGTTGGGGCACTGTTGGACCTTGGGGCATCTCTGTCTGACAAAAGTGATGTCGTGGTATCGCAATCCCCTGCTGGATAGCGGCGACTTGGGCTTAGCTTCCTTCGATGCTCGTGAGAGTTTGTTGTTGGTGTTCTGTTGCACAGCGGTATGGATAGAATTAGGCTCTTTTCAAGATGAGGGTGTTGCTCACTCGCCAGTTGCACATAGAGTGCTGTTCATGATGCTCGACGAGACAGCTTGCTCATTCTCACTATCACTAGTATCCGGGTTATGACCAACAACTGCGAAGCCAGAGATTATATACAGTTAAAGTAGAAACGAATAACGTAACTCCGCGATCTCCTCCAGTGATATCGCTAGGAGAAATACTCCACAATTCTCAGAAACGCCATTTTAATTGATGACTCCGATAACTCTGTCTCGACAACTGGTTTCGACTCGTTTCGAATTCTAAGTTTTCCACTACGTTGTTACCGAAGATAACGAGTGTACGTCAGCGTCACTTGCTTATGCTGAAGCGAGCTGATGGACTGAATGTCAAAGTCTGAGACTAAAAATATCATACACTCTAATAACGTAACAGTTTCATCTACAATAGGATTTCTAATCGGAGGGTTTGCAGAAGGTATAGATGATCTACAATAGATATATAGTGCAACAACTTAATGATGCACCCCTTACGTCAATCACCGCACTGAATACCTCCCAAACAGATGACGACATCTACACAACAACTCACGACTCGTCAGAAAG